GGAAGATTCTGTCATGATGACATGGTCTCAGAAAAATTGTTAGAACTTAGAAACAAGAAAGAAAATGTTGCAAGACATGATGGATTACATCTCACACTACACAAAAGCTTAACATGTGAAGGCATAACAGCACAATGTATGGTTTGTCTGGATAGAATATTTCTTTACCTTATAGGCTGTCTCTGTAGGAACAGGCACTTAGAAATCACTTTAAGAATTTTTGCTCCAAACCTTTTCTATCATGGAAATAACAGTTGATCAGTCTGTAGTAGAAAGTCCATGAACTCTAGAAAACTGACTAACATGCCTAACACTCAGTTACTCCAAAACCATTTTATTCTTTCTTATTGGTTGTTCTTAGAGTATAAACCAACATCCTGCTGCCTCTTCAATATGTATGCTAAACTGATGAAATAGGCTGAATTGTGAAGCATCCCTTGTCCCTGCACTGAGGGATTAATACAGAAGATAATGCTTAAAACTTTGGAATCTTCAGTCTAGTAAGAGGTTGCTAAACACTTAAATACCAACTAATGGCACTCTTGGCTTTGAGTAAATGGAGACAAAAATGGATGCAGTATCTTTTAAAATTCATAGAGGGTCAAATTATTATAGACACAATGCTGTGATGATGTTCCTACATTTAGCTAACAAAATTATTTCTATACTACTACATCTTGGAGCTAAGAGCTTCAGATTGAAAATTCCTGTAAGTGCTATCCCTGGAGTGCAGAACTCAGTGTGGATCAGAAGCCACGCAAATTCAAAAATGCAGTAAAAATTAATACAGTTACTGAAGAAAGTATATTCAAATTTATTGAAAATAAAGCATCTCCTAGTTTTCAAGTATCTTCTACCTGCTATTCTACTATCTCATTTTCACATTAGATCGCCTGCCTGGTATCGTAACATATCGTCACCAGTCAACAATTACAAAGCAGCCAAGCACCTTCAATTAAGAAAGTATTGCTGTATCTGAATTTTCAGTCAAACCCTATTTCTCCTGATCTAAACAGTCAATAAAAACTGATGAAAATTTATGCCTGTTGAGGTATCTTTAAACTGGTGTTACCAATAGTGCACCTCTCCTTCTCTAAAAAAAATAAACAAAGGAAGAGTGGGATTGAGTGCACCCTCCGCAAGTTTGCCAATGACACCAAGCTGCCTGGTTGGGTTGATACGCTGGAGGGAAGGAATGCCATCCAGAGGGACCTTGAAATGCTTGTGAGGTGGGCTGATGCCAACCTCATGAAGTTTAACCATGACAAGTGCAAGGTCCTACACCTGGGTCAGAGCAATCCCAGGCACAGCTACAGGCTGGGCAGAGAAAAGATTCAGAGCAGCCCTGCTGAGAAGGACTTGGGGGTGTTTGTCTATGAGAAAATGAACATGAGCCAGCAGTGTGCGCTTGCAGCCCAGAAAGCCAACCGTATCCTGGGCTGCATCAAAAGGAGTGTGACCAGCAGGTTGAAGGAGGTGATTCTGCCCCTCTACTCTGCTCTTGGGAGTATTGTGTGCAGTTCTGGTGTCCTCAACATAAAAAGGACATGGAACTGTTGGAACAAGTCCAGAGGAGGGCCACAAGAATGATCAGGGGACTGGAACACCTCCCATATGAAGACAGGTTGAGAAAGTTGGGGCTGTTCAGCCTGGAGAAGAGAAGGCTGTGTGGAGACCTCATAGCAGCCTTTCAGTATCTGAAGGGGGGCTATAGGAATGCTGTGGAGGGACTCTTCATTAGGGGCTGTAGTGATAGAACAAGGGGTAACGGGTTAAAAGTTAAACAGGGGAAGTTTAGATCGGATATAAGGAGGAAGTTCTTTACTGTGAGGGTGGTTAGGCACTGGAATGGGTTGCCCAGGGAGGTTGTGAATGCTCCATCCCTGGCAGTGTCCAAGGCCAGGTTGGACAGAGCCTTAGGTGGCATGGTTTAGTGTGAGGTGTCCCTGCCCATGGCAGGGGGGTTGGAACTAGATGGTCTTAAGGTCTTTTCCAACCTTAACTATTCTATGATTCTATGAACCAACACATTTAAATCAATATTGATTCTCTTAAAAGACACAGAAAAATCTGAGATTGTTTTGTTAGTTAAGTATGAAGGAAAAAGTAATGCACCTGAAGCAGTCTAGTAGTATCTCACAGTATGTACCCTAGCTGAGAACATTTATTCTACAGTATGGTAGTGGAAAACATGATTCTGTAGGCTTTTTAAATCTAATAATCACAGAATGAAATAACTTTCCATATCACTGTAAAAATAAATGTGTAGACTTTGTGAGAGCTCTGTCTAAACAGTATTTCAGATACAAGTTATATTAAAATCATGCACATACCGAAAATGTTATCTTGATATAATGAGGAGAAAATGTTCTAAACTTTATCAACAACCTCCAAGCAAATTCATTGGGCTTATCAGTTCACAAAAAAATTGCCCAGTTACACATTAAAAATATTATCAAGTCTCAAGCATCACCACTTGTTTGCACAGTGCATTAATGCTGTGATCCAGGTGAGTCACTAAGCACCAGCTAGAAGTAGTAGTAACCCATTAAAATATGAAGCAATGCTAGTTACCTGATCTATCTTCTCTCATTCATGTTTAGTGATGTTATCTTTTTTTCTTTTCTTTAAAGTAAGAGCTCAGAAGTGCTTTAGAAGATGAAAACAGAAGTTTTGGTAAGTCAGGTTTCCTTCAGGAAGAATTCTATGGCCACAAATTACAGCTGTAAGAATGGAGTAAGGAACTTGCTAAAATGCCAAGATAAACCAATGCTCCTAGATCTCTAAGCACATGCTAGAAAGTACTTTAGAACATAGGCTCTTCCCCTCCACCTCCTGCCCTCAAACTATTTGGAATCTCCAAATGTTTGGTATTTAATGTGAATCAACTCTTGCATTAGGGCACTCATCTGCTTAAAGAAAGATAAGCTGTCCATGACAAACTGTATTATAAGTGATGACATGTACACCAAAAGAATTTTTTCTTGCCTTTTATTGGAACCAGGTAAGTCACATGCCAAACATTTGTTTGGCATAGGTAAGTAAATACTTATTTATTGAAAGGCATAAGGATTAGCATCTGGAAAACTTAAAAAGTATAGAGCAGGTAAATGCATGACTTTTTCCACAAAATACGATCCTTTCCTACAAAACCACAGTACAAATGTTTCCATGTTTAATTTTGAAGTTTCTGGCCTTACATCTTGTTCCATATGGTACAGTGAAAATAAAAATAACAAAAACCATGGGAAATGGAAGGTTATTTGAATTTCTGATTCCTCTGAGCAGCAATGGCATTCAGGAGGAGAATAACACGTATACTGACATCTGTTTAGGGTGCAGGAAAGCAAGCCTAACTGAGTGGGGCAAACACATGACTAGGTAATAATACAAAGTGGACCGACTGGAACATTTAGCCTTCAAGAATTTAACATATGATGACAGAATGAGCAGAAATTGCTGGACTATAAATATTAATATGCAAAGTCTGTAAGGGGGAGAGATAGCAGTGGCCATACCAGCAACAGAGTAACACTTTACATTAAAACAACTAAAGTAGGTTTGGCCATTTGACTCTTACATGATCCCAAGTGGAATACACTGGGCCATTACATAGTGAATACAAGTTTTAGACACATCCAGTAACTCCCCTACGGAGCCACTCAGGGTTAGGGAGTCATTGCTTGACTTTGTCCTAATCCTACATACCACAAGGACTAGATGAGGTAGGAAGAGACCTCTGGATATCATTTAGTTCAAACCCACTGTCCAAGCAAGGTCACCTCAAGACAGTTACCCAGGACTGCATCCAGTCATGTTCCAAGTATCTTCAAGGATGGAGACACCACAGTCCTTCTGGGCACCTGTGCCAGTGCTCTGTTGCCCTCACAGAGAGTTTTTCTTGTGTAAGCAGAATTTCTTGTATTTCAATTTGTGATCAGTGCCTCTTGTCCTGCCACTCAATAGCACTGAGAAGAGTCTGTCTTGATCTTCTTTACACTGCTCGCTGCCCCCATATTTACACACATTGATAAGATCCCCCCCCCCCCCCCCCCCCGAGGCCCCTCTTCTGAACAGTCTCAGTTCTCTCAGCTTCTAATAGTATGTCATATACTTGATGGCCTTAATCATCTTGGTCACCCTTTGCTGGACTTGTTCCAGTCTGTCCTTGTCCCTTGTATACTGGTGAGCTCAGAACTGGACCAAGCACTTCAGATGTGGCCTCACCAGTGTTGAGTATAGAGTAAGGATCACCTCCCTTGTCCTGCTGGCCACACCCTTTCCAATGCAGCCCAGGAGGCTGCTGGCCTTCTTTGCCAAGACATTGAAAAAAATTTTTTTTGAAGGACTTCTACACCTTCAGGGATTATAGATTCCGTAAGTGTCCATGGATTTAACAGCAGACAAACTGGCAAAAAAGAAATTCATTGACAATTAATAAACACAATAAGCTACAATATCACAAGATGTCCCTGAACAAAACTGTAAGCTTGATGAGTTGGATGTGGATGATGTACTGTGCACTTCCTCTATCCCTAATGCTTAAAGCATCCCTTTTTGACTGTTGAAGCTATTAGGTTAGAAAGACCTCTGGGTCTGATGTAGGACTGTTCTTAGGCATTATAGAATGCAGTTACTTACCAAATTTCTGGATTAATTTATGAACAATAGAAGTTTATAAAAGATGGAAGATTACGTAAATAAACAACACTGTTAAAAATTACCAGTTCAGAACTTGTTTCAGTTAAGTGGTGGGAAAAGCCCCTAAAGAAAAATTCAGTGAAGATTTTACCTCATATCCCAATTAAAAGAACTCCCAAACTCAGAATGGCACTTAAGTGAAATGTTTCTTAGTGTAAAAAGACCCTTCAGTTTTTTAACGTTCTTTCAGAAACTGCAGGACAGAGATGCTGGAGTATCCAGATACATCCATCAGGGCAACAGTATTACAGATACTCTTTCGATTCTTCAAATCAGCAATATAATCAAAGGACAGAGAGGACAATTTTACAGGCCACTATTTTATTGCTCTCCAGAAATTTTCATATCACACGTACCACTGACCAGTTTTTCCAGATACCTGATATATTCATGTTTTGTAAAGTCTGTTTAAGAATCTCTTACTTTCAACTGCATCGGTTGAGATGTACTTGATAATACAGGTCTAGGATAATCACCTAAATACTTTGTATTTTCTCCTCTCTTGACATTCAAGTCCTTGCATAGTTCAAAGCACATTTTTACACTAAGAAAAAGCTCCAGAGAAACTGTACTATTCTTACAGGAAACAAAATTATGTTCCTAAAAACCATTCATTCATGTTAGGGTGTACTTCATAAATGGTGGCACTATGTAATGGGACTTATGAACCAGCAACAAATAATACACATTAATCAACAGTCCATTGAATAAATGAAGCAATCTTCATTATTAACAGATGGTAAGTTCTAGCAGTTGCTGTTTTATAGGTTGCAAAGGATAAGGACAGTATAGTAAAAGTGTTCAAACAGCAGTTGTTACAAGAAAATACCATGGGTTGCAAATCTGCAAGAATCTTCTTTCAAAATGTTAATTTACATATAGTTTAGTCATCAAATTTAATCTTTTTTCCTTGGAATGCTGTAATTTGAGACATTTGTTCCTTGCGTCTCTTGCTTGCTTCCCACGATGGATGAAGAGGCTGCTCCAAAAATGCTTTCTTATTGTCACATTTAACACCTGCAGCTTTTACAAATGGTTGCTTCTTGAGCTGTGGTTCCTTTTTATAAAGAGCTGTGCAAGAAGTACAAAATAAAATGGTAACTATATAATGAACCTTCATGAAAATATGCTAAAACTACCTTGGAACTGCAGGTATTCTGAACAATTTCTTAATGAGCCATGGGGAACACATTTTTCTGAATGTTCACAGCAACGTTTCCTCACCTTGCAGCCCAGTAAATCATCACTTGGTAGACTGCAGATAGTTAAGATTTGTTATTACCAACTACATTAAAAATTTGTGTAGACCAATATTCAGCAGTCTCAACTCTCTTCTTCACATAAACCAATGAGATATTACACAGTGTAACTCAGTATGACTGAAATGATACCCTTCAGCCAATGAATTAAAAAATGGTACCATATACTATAAATGGAATAAAATACTGAAGGAGCTACTGAAGGAATTACTCAAGAGATAAACTACTTGTTGAATATCATAATCTGGCACCTTTTCCTGTGCATGGGTAACACTAACTACTTAACATGAAGTCAGACAGGAAGGGACTTTCCCGTGTAAACCCTACTTTAAGTACGCCTAATATTCAAAAACAGGTAATAGCAAACAATACCAACAGATTAATATGAAAGCTCAACAATTCGACTACCTTAACAACAAACGTTAAAATGTGTGCTACAAAACTGAAATAAAACAAAACCCAACCTATCATGATTACACTGCAGAGGCAACAAAATCTCAAGATGTTTTTACTCTTACAACTTTACCAGGTTAAGTAATACATACCTGTTCTTTCATTTTTGTGAGGCTGGTCTTTCGTATTTCTAAAAATAAAAAGAGAATTTAGGATTTTTCAAGTCTTGTAAGATAAGAAACACTTGTGACTAAAGAACTTTCATCACCAAAACACTCATGCAATTACTTTTCCAGCATAATGTGCAAAACCACTTATATATCAATTTCTCTTTGTTAATAAAAAGCAAAAATAGAAGTATTTACTTAGGTCTCTTCAGGAATCCTTCTTATTTGGGAAGGGCTACTAAAAATCACAATCATCCGTATTACTGGGAAGAAAGGAGGGAATAGAGAACATAACAATGAGAAAAAATTACCTTCTCTTTTGAGATTTCTGATTAGAGGCAGACAAAGAACTGCAGAACACTGATTCTAGCTTGCTTGCTTTTGCATGTGGCTTTCCTTCTTCCATGATCAAATCTTGCTCTGCCCTAGCCACTGTGCTCTTTTCTTTCTTCACTATGTTCTTCTGAAGTCCATCCTTTGCTTTTACTGAAGAAAGAGCAGTAACTGCTGATAACTTTTTCTTTCTTTTTACTTTGCCAATGAAGAAATCATCATTGCTGTCACTGTCAGAATCTGATGACTGGTTATAAAACCTCTCTTCAGTACTATCATCAAAGTACTCCTCTTCACTAGGATGTTTCTGGTCTCTATCATCATTAATTTTTATTGCATTTAATTTGTTCAAGCTTCTATTTTCTTTCCTTGTTTGATAGCCAAGTTTCCTTTCCATTTTATTCTGGCCGACTGCTTGCATTTCTACTGCCTGAAATGAAGATTTTTCTAGAACATATGCTCTCTTAATTTCTACAGCTTTCTGCTCAGACTCAGTCTCACAAGGCTCTTCAGCAACCTCATCAGTTCCTACGTTCATACTATTTTTTCTTTTGTGTTCACATCCTTGCTGTTTTTGAGCTAGTTTAAGAGCCTGGTCATCCACAATGTTACTGAAATGTTGCACTGATTTAGGCTCTTCTTCCGACGTAGCCTTTTTCGAATGAGTGGCTTTGTCTGGGTTCTTTCTTGCATCCTTAAAAGCTTTTACAGCAGCTATACAAAGGACAGAAGGAAAATCTTTTGTTGCAGCTACACGTGAGTTTATGTATATTATTTTAATATAATAAAACACTTTTTCAAGTTAAATATGTTCCATAAGATAAGCAGAAATGGAATTTCCTTATCAATCATTTACTGAACACATGGGACAAGAAATACCTTAGAGTCAAGCTGTGTCAAGGGAGGTTTAGACTGAATATTAGGAAAAATTTCTTTACAGAGGGTGATAAGGCATTGGAACTGGATGCACAGGGCAGCAATGGGGTCACTGACCGTGGAAATGTTCACGAACCATGAAGAAGCCCTTAGGGACATGGTTTAGAGGTGGACTTGGCAGTCCTGGGGTAATGGTTGGACTTTATGATCTTAAAAGTCTTTTCCAACCTAGCTGAGTCTATGATTGATTCTAAAGATATTCCAGGTACAGGGTGGTCAAGAAAAGCCAGGAAGCAAATGTGAATTTATCTGCAACTGAATACACTGTTAAACTTGGGTTTAACTGTGAGCTCTTCCATCAGCAAATAATCTGCAGCTGATAATTCTTTGCATGTAAAAACTGAAAACAAATAGTAAATAAATTGCTCAGATGTAATGAAATGGGTATTTGCACCTGACCCTTTTTCAACATCAATTTTAGTTGGAAAATTTGAGTTTAAAGAGAACAGGAGATAACCTAAAGAACCAAGACAGATTCCCTAAGGATTCTGGGGACAGTTTCCAGGGAAGTTTAAGGGAATCATTGCAAAACCTTTTAGCTGCTTTTGGGAACCCAGCTGTAATGCTCCTTTTGCCTTTTTATCTGCATGTTACTGTGCTTACTGCCAATTCAGTCTTATTTAATTTAGAGATACTCTGTTATATCCACTAAATTTTTAGAGTTTTTTCAGTTCCCATTATAAGCCCTACTTATCAGGTCCTGTACTACTAAATGTCATATAGCATACTGTCATGAATAAACTCATTTTAATCAATGTAAATGACTATAAGCTTGTAACACTTGGTTCAACGCAGCTAGTCATGGTAATTACTGCAGATGTTATTTAGTTTTCTTTTCATACTGGTTGTTCATGTCAGGAATATATAGGAACAAGGTAACGCACTAGTAAGCTACTGAAGTCATAAACAAGTAATGTAATATTTCATACCTTTAAGTTCAACAAATCTGGGTTTCAAGGTGGGGTGTGTTGCAAGTCTTGCAATGGCTCGCTCTGTTGCAGTACAATTTGGCTTTACAAAATAAATTCAAAGGCACAAAGTCAATAAAACGGTGGATACTTATGCAGGTCTGTATCAGTTATGCTACAATACATACTAATGTGATTCTGGACTATTAACTAAACAAGAGGAAAGGCTTATGACACTGTAATATTTGATTTTTTTTTTCATTCTAAATGAGGAAAAATGTGACTGCCCAAATACTGGCAGAAATGTAGCACACATGTAAGCAAACCTGTTATTTCTCAGGTACTGAATATGGGTAATGTGATTTTTATTTTAAAAGCATAACAGACACATCTTTCAGAGCTAACACACTGACTTTACATTCACTGTTTCTTGTACACGCAAAGCAAATTCATGAACCCACTGAATAAAGAACACCATAGTGGTAGAAGACATTCTGCATGAAAGACTACAAGCAGCTTGCAAGAAGAGCAATATGAATGCCATGAAAATAGACAAAATGACATCAGGTTTTGAAGAAATACACATTAAACATGTTTAAGAGGCAATGCCTAACCTGATCTTTTAGACAAACAATTCTGAATTTGATGTGGCAGAATACCAAAACTTTTTTAGCCCGATTCAAACAAATATGATCTTCACGCTTTAATTTGAAAAAAAAGGAGAAAAGTAGGAATTGCTTCTGTCTGACTTTTCCTTTTATATATTAGAAGTCACAGGTATGGCACATTATGAAACCTACCTCATTTTCAGATTGTCATCACTCTGCTTAAAGAACAACATGAGAGGTATTTAAGACTTTTCCAAAGACAGCTATGTTGTCTTTTTTTCAAGGGAGGGAAAGGAGGTGTAACAGGTTTGTAAACACAAACTTAGCAGGAAGATTTCTTTAAGCTTCCAGTGGAATTCTTTCGGAAAGAGGAGAAAAAACACACCTTTCTCCTTTTCTCCTACTGGTACTATGATGGATATATTTCTCAACTGTTGCTACCTGTGATTTGAGCCATATGCTGCAGTAAGTACCACAGCAGAGGCCACACAAACCAACAGCTGACAAGTCTCATAAAGAACCAGGTAAGAGCCCTGTGACCCAACCTGAGCTGATTTTGCTGCCCAACAACTCAGCAGAACCTGTTACCTCTCCTGCCCTCAACAAACACTGCAACTGATGAGCCCAAGTCACAGGTATGTAAACAGCAGGAAATAAAGGGTGGAGATTGCACAGGCTTTGCCTTGGGAAGGAGGTAACTTTCTCCATAATGGCCAAGAAGGTGCTGTGCTTTGGATTTGTGACTAAAGCATTTTAGAGTTGATAATGTAGAGAAATGAAGGATACTGATCACTTAGCATGATTGACTTAGTGTAAGTAGCTATAGGTACTCAAGCCTTAGGCTGCAGGCTGTAAACTTTCACCTAGATATGCTGAACTCTAACCTAGTTAAGTAAAAGGAGGCCCCAGAGCTGGTTCATGGTGGAATGTAAGGAAGCGAGGAAAGCCACTACACTTGTCAGCAGAAGGTACACTCTTCCAGAGAAGAAATCACCTGCCTGGAGTGAATGAAGGGACCCACTTAGGAACAGAAAGACCCCAGACCTTAATATTACTCTGTCTGGAACTGTCACAAGAGCAGTGGGTAGTTTAGATTATAAGGGTATAACTGCCCTTACATGGTTTTCTTTGTTCGCGGTGACTCTACGGAGGCACCCAGCTTGAGCTGTTTCTTACCAACGTACCGAAAAGCTGATTAGTCTGCTTGGGACTCTGCTCAGGGAATCCTGAAGTTGAGTCAAACAGGGAAAAAAGTCTGCATTGAGTGTGCGTGTGTTCGTGCCTATGGAGTCAATACGGGGCACTCATTGGCTCACTAGAGCCACCCACCACAAAGGGACTGTGAGTCCTTGTGGTTAAAGTCTCTGCTGGTATGAATGTGCCTCCTTGATTGTGTGATGAGTCCTTCTTCCCTAACATGTAAGATACCAATGATTTAGTTATTGCTGAGTACGGCTTGCACAACACCAAGGCCTTCTTTGTTTCTCACTCTGCCCTCCCAAAAAGCAGCCAGGGGGAAGGAAACACACCTGGGATAGATGATCTGAACTGACCAAAAGGATATTCCATTCCGTATCAAGCCATGCTCAGCAATAAATGCTCAAAGCAAGAAAAAGGAAATGGGGTATGTTTGTGGTTATGGCATTTGTCTTCTCAAGTAACTGTTAGGTGAAATGAAGCCGTGCTTTCTGTGATGTGGCTAAACATCTAGCTGCTGATGGTAAGTAGTGAATTCATTTCTTATTCTCCTTTGCTTGCACACAGAGTTTTGCTTCACTTATTGAAATGTCTTTATCTCAAGCTACAAATTTTCTGACTTGTGTTGTCTGATGCTATCCCCATCCTGCAGGAGTTGGGTGAGTAAGCAGCTGCTGCTGGGTCTCAGTTGCTGGCTGGGGTCAAACCATGACACAAACACTACCTAATACATCAGCAATGCATGTTTAAGGTAACTGATTTGCTTGACGTAAGATTTCTCAGTGGGGATCTTACTTGTTTGCATGTGCATTTTCTTTCAGCAGAATTATATTTAGTATAAACTTATGTATTCACTGCATAGAGACAGATGGACACTTTGTGCCAACTACTAATTCAAGACAGTCACTTTAAGTGCATTGGTCTGAAGGAAATGGAACAGAAGATCACACTACAGCTACACCAGAGCCAGTACTTCTAAATGCAAAACCATTTAATTGGTTTGCAAAACGTAAACCTTGTTCCTCATCCAATGCAAAGCAAATACCATTTTATTTTTTCTGCTACTGTAGAGCCTACAAAATATACCCAGGGTGTGTCCAATCATATTTCATATTTGGAGTGCAGAGCATCTGAGAAATTTAGTACCTTCCTTTCTCCTGAATTCTCTGCTATTACTATTTCTTCAGGTCAAGAAAAACTGGAAAAAATATTTTCTCTGTAGACTGTCTACAGAACTACGAACACTGGCCAGAGGAGATGGGTAAAAGATGGGTCCATTTCCAAGGACCACAGAGTGGCTTACTTTTGGGCAAGCCTAGCTCTGAGAACTTGAAATCTGAATTTTGATCCCCATGTGACAGGGCTGCAGGCTGCCACCAGATTCCTGGGACAGCAAGCTCACATTTCTAAGATCAAATGGTATTTTCTTTGGAGATTGTTCTATAGCTGGAAAATCTATTTCTGAACTTAATTAATACACTTTTTTCCCTCAGCTACTTCCTGTGGGTTTTGAAAGAATATACCATGAAGTTCAGAAAGCAGCAGCAGCTTCTGTGCAACATCTGGTGTCCCTTAATTTGTGTATTTATAGAAAGGGTTTAAGCTTATACATGCCAATACATATGGAATAACCACATTTTTTCCTTATAGCAAAATACACTATTCACACTGACAGTAGCCAACAAACATACAATATGACACTCACATTCTTTAAAATCTCCCATTTTTCTGCATTTTTGGCACATTCAATGCTCACTTTATTTTTCCTTAAGTATTTTCCAGTGTATAATAACCTTGGCAGAAAATAACACTTAACAGAAAAACATTAGCTATATTTATAACATATACCCTTTCTGCCTCCTACTGTCCCCATTATGTTTAATTACAAAGACACTGGAATCATACACATTTATTTTCAGATGTTCTTGTTACTTCTTGTATTATTTTACACTATTTTTATTTTTTTTTTCACTCAAGAATGTCCTAGGTACTTTCCTTAGGAACTCATTCAGTGTGCAACTAAGGTGCTGCAAAGTGAACAAAGCAACTGAGCATACACAGTCACACTTTTCAGTGAAAAGTTGCAGGCTACATACAGAACCACCTGAAAAGTCAGAGTCTCCTCAAACTTTATCTTGGTAAGTGATGCATTATTTCCCTGTATAGTAGTAAAAATGTCTCTCTATCATCACTGCTATGTTTCATTAAGCTCCATGTAGACATTTAACTGAACTAATTTCACTGTATTTTTAAATCTCTTAAAATGAAAAGGAACCAAAACTGCATAAACAGGCATTCTTCATTCTGAATAGCAGATGTGCTCAGAGAGGCACAAGCCTCAAAACATAACTTGTCAGTCATACCATAATAAAGCAGCAGCTGTATAACTTACTCATGTGCAAACACACATACAAAGACAAAACTGTACTATGTGGCAACGTCTGGGAAGAGAATGGACATTACAAGCTTGCTAAGATAGACTCACAATGCAAGTTTTTAGATATGAAATGGCTCTGAGGGCTGGCAGAACTGGGTAAAAAAACCCAAAAAACAGAAACGAAGTGGCAGTATGATGAAAACCTCAGCAGATGTTTTGTGGATAGTACCTGTTTCATACAACCGCAGGTGATAACAGTGAGAAAAAGAAACTCAAGTGTCTTGTATCGGAGCCTTGGGGCAGGAGTTGATAGGAATACCTTATTACCGTGCTTAAGACGACAGCATCAGGAAAAATAAAAGGTCAGAAGCCTGGGATTAACTTGGGAATATGAAAAGAGACTTAAAATCGTTGGTTCATTCCAGTTACTCTTGATGTTCAAATCTATTTTTGTTTATACCCTCTCTTCTATAATTGTAATGAATAATAGGAAAAAAAAGGCCAGGTTGGATGGGGCTTTGAGCAAGCTCGTCTAGTGGAAGGTGTCCCTGCCCAGGGCAGTGGGCTTGGAACTGGATGATCCTTAAGTCTTAATCTCTTCCAACACAAACGATTTTAAAGAGCTCATACTTCTGTTTTTTTTCAATTGACTTTTGTATGAAAGGGTCTCACCAGCAACAAGACTGCTACTAGAAAAGTGTACCACTACAAAGACTACAACTGTAATTTCAGCTAGGTGAAAGGACAGTCCTGCATCTGCCACTTTAGATCATTGCTCAGTTATTTAAATTAATGACATGCAAATAGGGATGTTCAGGGACCCCACTAACAAATACTCAGTAAAAATGCTATGACACAAAAAGTAACCTTCAATCAAATCACACTCAAGTTCCTAAACTAATGGGAAGTGCAGTTTAATGT